ATCATCGGCAAATCTCTAATAAATGGTATATATACTCTACATCTGGCCCCTTTGATCAAATATAAAGTGAGTATCTTGACTAGTTAGCTTCAATTTTGTTGTGACGATGTTAACTCGCTTTGATGATGTCCGTCATATGACGGACGAAAGCTTAGCACCTTTTCACCGGAATCGAAGGAGATTACCTCAGAAACAGCGTCAGCATGAATCTTCCAGTAAAGCCAATCGACAGCTGGTCAAGAGGAATCCGCCGTCGCTCGGAAACAGAGTCAGCATCGATCTTCCAGTAAAGCCAATTGACAGCTGGTCAAGAGGAATCCGCCGTCGTCTTCTGGTGAAACCGATCTTTGATTCTCTTCAACCAACACTTTCACTCGAAATGGATGTAAGCTCAACAGGTAAGAAATGTAGTTTCTGATTAAATTTAACAATCCAATTATTTTATGCATGTGGTCTGACCTCGTTTTCGTAACTTGATCGCGTTGTATAGGAAGCATATTTGGGCACACCTTGTCCAAAGTCATTTGCTATAGTAGTTATCATGTTTCTAAGCGTCGGACGGTGGACGTGGTACATCTTTAGACGTTTCGCCGGCATCATACTCGGCATCGTCAGTGAGTCTTGTCATTCTCAACGCAAAGCTACAATTCGTCAAAGTGAGAAATGAAGTCGATCCCTCGACCAACTCTTTGCCAAAATAGTCACTTTGACGAGTTGTCGCTTGGTGCTGAGAATGGCAATACTCAGTGACGATGCCGACTAGGAGGCAGGCAAAACATCTGGGGATGTACCAAGTCTACGGCCAAAAGATGGGAATTATCATAACTGCTATAGCAGATGACTACGGACACGGTGCGCACCACTAAGTCGCCCTGATGACACGACAATGTTGCGAAAACGACGTCAGACCATATATATATATATATATATACATCGAAAGGAGACTGCTATCAAAATAGAGGCCACGACATCTTGGACTTCGCATCTAATTATTTTATCTTTGTCTAACCTTTAATTTATTATGCTCTCAGAATGGTGATGTAACATTAAGTATTAATTGAAAGTATGAAGACCCAAGATGGTGTGGTCTTTTTTATGGTCGCAGTCTCCTTCCATTGTATAGAATTTGTTTGACCTTGTT